GGAGTCGCCGAAATGGCCTCCTCCCTATTTTGGCCCATAGCTGGCACCGCTGCCTCCACATGAGTCGCAGCCCTAACAAGCACACTGTAACTCCTATGCCAAGACCCCGCAATCCTTTCTCGGATGTCGTCACACAACCTACTCTCAAACTCCGAACAACGCAGTTCCTCCGTCTCCACTAACTCTGGGGCAAACCTCGACAGGTTAGCAAACCATGCTTCAAACTGTACCAAAGGTGTAGTACCTTGGCATAACTCCACAAACTGTTTGTGCAACTCTTCCCGTGTAGAAGGAAGGAAATCACAACTTCCTCGTCTAGGCATCCTAGTAAATTAGGACATTATCAAAGGTGCCGAAGCTATTTCACTCGCGTGCTAAATGATAGAAAACAGTAATTCACTCCACATAAGCACATAATCACATAAGCACCTACGAATTTCATTCCTGGATAATGACAGTCCTGAGGCGTTGCTAGAGTTTCGGTTGGAAACAGCATTGATCAAGTGCTTTTCCAACAAGACTCATAAAAACTCAAGGATCCAATCAACATCCTAGAAATTAAATCCCATACCCACATAGTCACATAATCATGTTATCAAATAAACACATACTATCATGCATAAGTCTCTAACAAGCGAGACAAACCCATTGTGATACTAATCACTTCCCATGTACCCAAAGTATTCAAACCCGGTACGCTCTGATACCAAGTTATAACGCAATCAAAATAAACCCATAATATCATACATTCAAGATATAGGAAAGAGATATTATATTACAATCATCAGAGTATGCTTACAAAATGTATTACATATTGACCATAAAAGTAATCGCCCTATGGGCTTACAACATCCCAAGACAACGCTTGGTTGTAAAAAGAGAGTGCAAACTCTATACAAAGAAAGCCCTTGGCTTGATATACATGTAATACAACAAAACAACAAAAGGTGGTCTAATAGCCTCAAGCCTTCCAAGCTACGTCCTTGGAGGTGGCATAACACCTGTACCTGAAAATGATGTCCCATCGCCAACACCCAATAAAGATATGCTAAACATAGTATGAACAGTAACTAAAACGTTAGCAATTGATAAACATTTAACTCTTACACAACAACTTATAACACATTACAATCCCAAGACTAATATGACCATATTCTATTCCAGTTTCCATTTCTTATCAAATTCTCAATTCATAACTATGACTCACAACTTGGCCAATCAATTTAAACGAGATCACATCTCATATCAACCGTATTTCTATTTCAGGCGAGATAATAACTCATTTTAAACATTTCATACCTCATAATAGATACACATTTTAGTACTGTATCAATCTCAGACAAAAACACTTTCATACTTCACAAATGATACACATTTTAGTGCTGTATCAATATCAAACAAAAACACTTCTATACTTCACAAATGATACACATTTTAGTGCTGTATCAATATTAAACAAAAATCCGGTTTAGAGGTCCATCCCCCATCTTCCAATAAACCGTGGAGTACATCCCCCATCTCCTCCTACACAAAACAATGTATATAAGCGATTATCATGTACAAATTCGATCAATCAATACAAAATTTTGATGTATTATACCAACCGCCATATTCAATAGCATACTCAACTGATTAGTTTTAGTTTACCTAATCCCCATGCATTGTCTACAACCCTCAAGACTATCCTCCACCGATAGCCTAAAATAGTTATTTCTAAACAAAGGATAAATGCACCAAATGGATAAAATATCAACATTTTGTCTAGGTGAGCGATAAATTAATCCAACTACACCCTTTTAATCCCATACCTTTCTAATTTGAATATTTCCTATTCAATTTCTCATTTCCCTAAATTAATTATACAAATTAATTTATCATAACAATTAGGGCTTTTCCGCATATTCTCAACATCAACCCTAAGGCTCCAATATTACTAACAACATCAACAATCTCTATTTTAGACCCAAAACACGTATGGATCAGTCAAATAAACAAAACCCCTCTTTTCAAAATAGCACATTTCAAAACCCTAACTTCCTAAATCAAACCATTTAAACAAAAGCCCAACATCTGGGTTAAAGCTCATAAAGATGAATAGAAATCCCTACCTCAAATGAAGAGACTAAATGGAGAAGATGAAGGATTTTGAAGGTGCTCCAAACCCAATAATTTTCGAATCAAAATGAAGAGCAAGCCATCCCTTCCTCTTCCTTTCAAGATATCTCTCTTGTTCTCCGTCCTCTCCTCCCTTATGAAAATGCTTACTCTCACTCTAACCACTCTTAGTCTAAACTCAAAATCTGTATAACAAATGGAGAGAGATATGGGAAAAATCATAGAAAGAAGTTGAGAGGTGAGCTCAATTTATAGGCAACCTTGATGTAGTTGGTATTGAAAGATTGTTATTAAAGCCCATTAATTGGAAAATGAAAGGACAAGTTAGAATTAAATGAACACTAATTGAAATATGAATGGACAAGTTTGAATATGAATGGACCACTAATAAGGGTAGTAACTGAACTACTAATAAGGATATTAAATGAACAAGTTTGTAACCACTAATAAGGATATTAAATGAACCACTAATAAGGATATTAAATGAACAAGTTTGTAACCACTAATAAGGATATTAAATGAACCATTATGAAAATTTAATGGACACTAACCCTTGGTTTCCAAACACAACCAACCTGTTTTAAACCTACCCAACACGACCCAAGACTCATATACAAAGAGTAAAGGATGGAAACGGGAAAAAGACAACAACACATCCACGGAACCGAGTCTGAAATACAATTAAACAATGAAGGAAAAACTGGGATCGCTATAGGTGATCAGGCACGTGACTATGTCCAGAGTTGACGGCCTAAGATTCTCTTTTGTCAGCCAACCACCGTGCCTCCCGTGGAGGTTCCTTTTGAGAGGTCCATGTCAAGGCTTTATTTGGTTTTGTTCTGTTTATCTGTACTTGGGCTAAGTTTCCTTTTGACTTTATCTGTGTAAATGGGTGACGTAAGACTATCGTATCTATGACGTCACACACACACACACACACACACACACACACATATAAATATATATATATATATATATAAGTTGTTTTAAAGTTTTCTGTCTCATATACGTTAACACAGCTCTATGGACATTATATACTTTCTATATTTGTTTCCACAGGTCTTATTTATATGTTATTCTGTCAAGAGGCCTTTGGTAATCTAAGGATTATTGGTCAGTTATGATACTAAATCTATAGGGGCGGGTTTGGGTCGTGACACGCCCCTTGTCCTAAATTAATATATTTTGATTAGACTTTAAAGCAATAATTATATGTCTCATAAAAAAAATAGAATCTCTAGAAAGATTATTATTGTAGAACGAAGGGAGTATTATGAGTAATATTACAAATTCATCTTTATCAATTTAGAAATTACTCAAAAATTAATTTCTGTCACACTTTACATGGATCCCTTGTAAACTCTACAATACACAAATTAATTTCCATGATAAAATTACCTACCAATTTTTTTTAAGTGGATCAAAACCGGTGTCTAGACTTTTCCGAATACTATTATGAGTGAAGGGAAAATACCATTAGAGATTAAAAAATATTATTTCAGAAATCACAAGACGCGATTTTTAAATGTTGATTAAAAAGTTAAAAATGAAGGAATAATTGCAAAACGAGTATGAATAAAAAAATAAGTGAAATGATTTATTTACTAAATTTGATGTTGCTTGAATTAGTTAAATTTGTGTTAGTTGGACGACTCGGTTTTACCCTCATCTATCATGGTCATCACTTTATAATTCAGATGATCAATATGAACAAATTCAGACGGCTCCAAATTTAGTGGAGGTAGCATTGTTGAAAAAATAATTAGGCATTGTTAGGAATATTAATTTTTCTACCAAAAAATATCAAATGTTTCACATGGGTGTAGGGTTCGCAATTTTGTGAACCCCACACTTATGTGAGACATTTAATTATTTGTTTGGTGGAAAATTTGAGACCTATAATTTTTTCCAAAATAATTGCATAATACAGAAAAATTTTAAAAAATAATTAGAAAACCATGAATCAATTTACATATTTACCCTTAAGCCATGTTTGTTTCACGATTTGAGTGGCTGAATTGGACTACTATGGATGGTTGTGGGTTCATCTACATCATGTTTGATAGTAAAATGGGAGGACAGATTGATAGTCCAAAGGACTTAGCAAACCCCCTCAATAGGGAGATTAACTTGGTTAGATTTTGGATGAGATTAGAAAAATAATAAAAAAATTCAAACTATTTTATATAAAAAAAATTTTAGGCACTTTTATATTTTAATATTTATTTTAATTTTTTTAATATAAAAATATTTATATTTATTTTAGATAAAAATAATTTATCAATCTACTAAGACCATCTCCAACGGTTCACCAAACTTGAAATCAAATTTGAATTTGGTAAAAAAAATACTGTTTGGTGCTCTAACGGTTGCACCAAATCGGTATCAAATTGACAATTTACCAAAAAATTCATCAAAGTGAGAACATGCAGCAGCTTTCACCGTTTCACTGTGCGTGACCTTTAGGGAGACCAGCTGGTCGACCAGCCGGTTGACCAACCGGTCCACCAGTTCCCTTACAAAAATTTTGGTTCAAACAGGTCAAAAGGTTCAAAGAGATAAAAAAAAAATATGCCTTACTGGTCGACCGGCCGGTTGACCAACCGGTCGACTCCTATTTTGATGCCCACCATTGGAGCAGTAAGTATCAAAATGAGAAAATGAGTTTTTTATCTGAAATTTGGTGAAAAATTTGATAAATGATTGGAGATGCTCTAAGTAATCATTTACTATACTATCATCAAAATAACACACTTTTATTTAATTTTCTTACTAATAATTCTTATATTATTAATCACTTTACTAACCATGCCCTCACAATTTTCTTACTAATAATTCTTACATTATTAATCTCATTACTAACAATCCTCTCGTTACTAATCTCATCAAACTAAATTCACCAAACATGGCCTTAATTCTTTCCATCTGCCCTCTCTTCCTCTTTCAATCCCACCCTCTGTTACCGGTGGCCACCCCTACCAGATTCCTCCGGCCACCGCTCCGCCAGTCCTCGCCCTTCCCACCAATTCCCCTCCACCACTGCCGCCAACCCATTGCCCATCCAGCCCCAACCTTTGCAAAACCAGATCTGGAACCAGAACTCATCGCGCGATCGTGAGATCGTTCCACCACGATCTCATGCCAGCGATCGCTCTTTCATCGTGATCTCTCCTCTGTCATCGCGCAGTCTCACGGTGGCGGCGGTGGAGGAGGCAGGGGGTTAGGGTTTGCGGAGGGATAGTGGCGGTGGCAGTTGGATCTAGCAAGTTATATAACATTTATTATTAGGTAACATACCTGCATATCTTGACTAATTATCCAATTCTTAGCCTGATTTAGCATTTTTTCCTATTCAATTAGCTTGTTCAAGACTGTTTAGTACAACTTCGGCATACAGCGTATTAGGCAAAAATAACTTAAATAAATAAAAAAAAAACCTGATCATTTGAAAGCTGAGATGAGAGTCGTGCTTTTAACTTCTGTTTTTAGATTATCAACTTTTAGCATTATAAGCTGCACCAAAAACACAAGTGCTTTTGGATTATCTGAAAGCATTCCTCTGTTTTTGGATTATCAAATGGTTGGGTGGTGTTTTGTTAGTTGCTTTGCATTATTTACTTGCATAATAGAGTGAGCGAGCTTTTGGTATTTACATGCCAAGAAGTACGCACTAATATCAGTATTTTCTTTTTCCCATGAATTATGTTCTGTTGTAGTTTCTGGAGGAGCTTCCTCAACTGATGAACTACTGAGCATCTCCAACGGTAGTAGGCATTTTACCTATCTAAATATTACTATAAAATATACATTTTATTTTGCCTATCAACTATCAACTGTTTTATGTTTCTACTCCAATCATGGTCTTTATTTTAGCTATTCATTAACTTTATAGAATGTCACGTCAACAACAAAGATGGATGGAAATAATCCTAATGATTAAATACATTTTGCCTAGCCTTGAAAGCTAGCTACATGTAGCTGGTGAATGTAAGTTGAGTCAAAATGTGCATTGGAGTTGAAAAAAGTGAGTCACATTAGGTATTTTGAATAACAAGCATTGTATGCGTAATGGGTTGGAGATGCTCAAAGCATGGTGCATAAATTTGTTGAGTAAGAGGTAAAAAAGGAGGGTGATAAAATTGTACGATTATGAAAATACAAGAAAGCAATAATCTAGAACAACCAAGTTGACCCACTCTGCAAATGGATACAACCTAACAGAACTTAAATCTTGTTGTACAGACTACTAAGTTATGGGTTGTCTACTCCTAGATACAGGAATACAATTTTTTGCATATTATTACTGATTTCCTTGTAACTGGTATTGTACCTTTTGTTATTGGAGTTGATTGTTACTGATTTTCCCATAGCTTACATTCTGCTTTTGGCTGTTGGAGTTACTAGTTCTGAGTGAATCACTGACAAGACCTTGGGTTTGGCCCAGTGGTCTTGTAGCCACACCTTAAGGTGTGCTGAGGGAAAAGTTGAGGGATTCAAGCTAATGGAGGAGTGGCGACCCCTTTAGTCGCAATATAACTTTACTAACAAACTAAAATCCTACAATCTTCACACACACACACACACACACACACACACACACACACAAAAATCATTGACAAACTTTCAATTCATAATTTTTGATAAGCTGCAGCCTGCATATATTTTATGCCACACAACCGTTTCTCCTAAGAGCTTATATTGAAATTTTTTAGCTTGTTTAAGGTGCATATAAAACAATCTGGCCTTGTTTCACACTTCTAATTTATAATTGCATAATGTTTTGATCCTTTATTGAGATTCATATCAGAATATTGGTTTAACATATTTTGGTTGGGTAGAATACCTATGCTGAGGATGTCAGCCAGAAATGGCTACAATGGGGCTTGATACCATGTGGTTAGCCTGATCAAACCATTTGAGATAGCCACTCGTTATGTTTGTTGCATCTTTATCGACCTCTACACTCATAGCAAAACTTTGCTTCTGAAATTTGCTTGTGAATGTGAGAGTACTAGGCTCTACTTTGATCCTCATTCCAGTAGGAACAACTAAAACAGCTTGATAAGTGGCTGTATCATCTCCCACATTTGTCACAACCCTGCTGAAGTTCTTTTCTTTTATGGAGCTGGCTCCTTTGGGAAATATGGCAACGAAAGAAGGATAATTGAGGTCAATGGGATTTTGGCTGCAACTCCACTCATTTCTTCTGAGGACAGCGCTCATCTGCTTCTTACTATAGCCGAGGCGACACAGGAACTCAATATAATCTTGGAAACCCATGTCATATATCAGGCCTGGATCCATGGCTTTATTGGGATTGATGTGGCCTGCCCCGAAGTCTAGAGGTGTGGCATGGAGTCCAGTCCATTGGTCTTTGAAGGTTGTGCCTGTATTGTCAACTAAATTTGCGGTGGTCATGATGGCTGATCTTATGGCTGCAGGGCTCCAATCTTGGTGGACAGCCTTCAGTAATGCTGCAACTCCTGCAACATGGGGTGCTGCCATTGATGTTCCTGAGTAAAGTGCATAATCTGTGACCAAATCGTAGTTGCCTATTGAAGTGAAAGGTTTATTGGGTGCAACTGCTGCCAGATATTTGCCCCAGGAGCGAGAATATCTGGTTTTAGAACACCTGGGCTAATTGGGTCAGGTCCTCTAGAAGAAAAACGAGCAACTTGAGGAGCTGGTTTTGTGCCCAAGCTTGTCATCATGAACCTCATGCTCTTCACCATCGCTTTTTTTGCCTTGGTTGCATACTCTCTGACTGAAGTCCCAGAACTAGTCTTTAAAACCAGGCTAGGAATGAAGGACCCACCTGGACCTAAAACAACATGGTCTGCCATGAAGATGCCTGCATGTCCACCTGCCCTAAAAATTTCTATCATTTGTTCAATAACACTAATGTTGCCAGTATTATCACATAGGACTACCTTGCTGTCAACCTCTTTTGGATCCAAAGCATAAAGGTTGCATGTTGCTTTGCTTCGATTACGTTCCCCATAATACAAAGGTGTGTCAGTAATCTATATGCTTTCCGGGAAGTATGATGTTCCTTCCACAGTTGCTCCATTTCCTAGGTGCATTTTTCCTCCAAAACTTCGGTCAACAGTGCCAGCACCCACTGTCATGATCCAAGGTGCTCCATTGTATGTTGTGTTTGGACCTCCATCATTTCCAGCGGAACAGACAACAACAATCCCTTTCTCTATTGCTGAAAGAGATGCCATAGCTATGATATCCTTGAAATAAGATGTCTGTGTAAATCCCAGAGACACAGACATGATGTCCACCCCATCAGCAATAGCTCGATCCATCCCGGCGAGCACATCAGTAGCTGCAACCTCCTCTGTGCTTGTTGACCAGAGGACCTTGTACATGGCGATACGTGCATTTGGTGCTATCCCTCTGGCTGTGCCTTTAGCGTACCTAAAGTGACTAGCACCAAGTACATGGGTACCCGCTGCTGTGGACGAGGTGTGGGTTCCATGACCTGCGAAGTCTCTTGCTGATTTGAAGTCATCTTCCTTGGAAATTTTTTTACCTGAAGCATGGAGTCCTTTGCTAAAAGACTGAGCACCAATGAGCTTCCTGTTGCAGGCTGAAGGGCCAAAATCTGTGCCATTTTCACACTTGCCCTTCCATCTCTCTGGCACTGGTGACATCCCTTTGTCCTGAAAGCTCTCACTTTCTGGCCAAATTCCAGTGTCTATTATTCCTATGATTACATCTTTCCAAAAGAAGAAGCAGGCCATATGCCAGTTCTACTTTTTAGGCCAAGGAACTTGGTGGTGTGGGTTGTGAAGAGCTTACCAAAGGACTCCTCATATGTTGCACGGTGAGCTGGGGACTTTTCGAGTTCAGATAGTTGAGAGGGTGTGAGCCTGGCGCTGAAACCATGCATGACATGGTCATATGAATAGAGTAACTTATCTTCATGGTCAACGGGAAATGAAGATAATGATTTTAGAGTAAACTTGTGCCATGACTCCTGGCTTAAGAAAGTTGCTGGTTTCTGTGAACGGTCCATGTGGATGATGTATGTCTTGTATTCTTCAGATCCTGCAAATGCATTACTGACCCCCAGGAGGAATACCAGTAGCCAGGGCAATGCAGGGTGCAAGGGCAAACAAAGAAAAAAGCTGGTCATATAAATGAACTTTTGACAGTCCATATCTCATAGCAAGGAAGCACGGGTGCGGGTACGAGTACGGTACGGGTGCGGGTGCGGGTACGCCGATACAGCAAAACTCAAAAAAAGTATGATACGGGTACGGCTGCGTACACCGATATATATATATATTTTTATATAATTATGGTTAAAGGGTTCAACCTACAAATTAAAATTAAATATCAAAACTAAAAAGAGAATTACTCATTTTCCTATAATTTAAAATCATTAAGCGTTAAAAATAATATTTGTGAAATCTCTCACTTTGACGTGTTACGAACTGTGAATTTGTGATCATAATTTATTTTTAAAATCTTTCTTTTTGCTCATCAATTTGCTATTTCTATAGGGTGAGACCAAATTCTCAATTGAGGCAGATTGTCAATTGCAATTTACATAATACATAAAATTGTATCATTCCCAACCACTACTAATCAACTAAAATCGTATCAATTTTTAATGTTTTGTGCATAAACTTTAAAAGTTTGTTATGATTAAAGATTTTATAAAGAAATTCTAGGAGGATCTAAAGCAAAAGCATATCGCATAGTCATACACAGAACTACCCTTTATAGGCCTTGTTATTTTTTTTGGTTCAAATTGCTTTTTAAAAACATTAAAATCATTTGTTGATATGCTTCTACAATTTATACAGACAAACAGGACAACAGAGAAACATCAAAATTATTGATCTGCAAGGGCACCAAAAAAAATAAAAAATAATAATAATAATTGCTAATTTGCAAGGGCAGAAAAAAAAAAAAAAAAAAAAATGGCCATGGCGTACTCACGCCGTACCCATGGCGTACCCGTGGCGTACAAAAAAAAAAAAAAAAAAAAAAATTGGCCTTGGCGTACCCATGGCGTACCCACGCCGTACCCATGGCGTACCCGTGGCGTACCCATGCCGTACCCGTGGCGTACCCATGTCGTACCCGAATAAGCCAAACGTACCGGACCCTCTTTTGCCGTACCCGGTACGCGTACCGCCGTACCGGTACGCGTACCCGCACCCGGTAAGTACCCGGTACTTGTACGGCACTATTTTTGGAGTACCCGTGCTTCATAGCTTCCAAGAGAATCTCCCTCCCATTACGTTGATTTTTTCAATGGTATACTTTCTCATGCTTTGAAATTTCTCTTCCTTACCTTTTTAATGGTCCCTAACTTTAATTTCCTTCCTCATTTTGAGCTTGACATTAATATATATAGATAATGATGAAATCTTATTAATAAACCAATGATTTATCAAAAAAAATTTTTTTTTTTTTTGCTTGTGTTAGCATCTTCAATAGTAGCCGTTCACTCTTTATCTTTATGTTAAGTATATATCAGCATCTCATTTGACTCTCTGTTTTTATGCGTGAATGTTGTTCTCTCAATTTTTCCCCCCCTTTTGATACGTCCCAGGGACACCGGTGACCATGGTTGCACCCAACTTGTAAAATCCTGAGAATGAACCCTCAAGCCTTACTTAATGTTGGCTTAGTACTCTTGCTTAACTTTTTTGATTGGTATATAGTAATATATCTCTTCTAATGATGAGAATCTCCTGTTAACAGCATAAATTTTTGTTGTTGGAAGAAAATGATGATGAACATACAAAAATAGTTATCTATTTATTTTTTAAATTGAGAATTTCAGATGGGGCACATCTAGTGCTTCTTGTAATCATGTTTAGTGTCCATCCGAGACTTATTTTATGCATTCTATATGTTAGAACATTGCTGAAGAGATTTTAGGACTCTAGTAGTTAGCAGTATTTTGGTTACTTTTTAAATTGCTAAACATATGGTGTGTAATTGCCCATGGATCATCTTATAGATTAAGTTAACGTTATTGGGTTATTATTGTACACGGCTTTATTTAGACCAGAAGACTCTAATGTTAAGTTTTTGTAGGATTAAGTCAGTCTAGTAGCTTATCATTCTTCAATAGAGTTGATTTTACAATAATGGGAGAGTTTGTTTGTGTGAATTTGATTGGCTGTTGTTTAATGTTAAGTCTTTGTAGGATTAAGTCAGCCTAGTAGCCTATCATTCTTCAATAGAGTTGATTTTACAATAATTTGAGAGTTTGTTTGTGTGAATTTGATTGGCTGTTGTGAGGGTAAAAACGATCCTCCCTTCTTCTTTGTTAGTGTCACAGCCTTTGTTTATACCTCCTTTATAGCACCAAAACCCTAACAAGTCAAGCTTAAGTCAATACTAACCCCGTCCTCTACCTATTGGCATTCAATTTGATTATCAAAACCTTAAATTACTCATTTTTTTTTTTTTTTTTTTTTTTTGATCGGCAAAAGAGAAACTTCATTGATGAAAGACAACCGAATTACATCAACAAAGAGGAGAAACCAACAAGAAGAAGCTCCAAGTTGGTGAAACTCCAAGTTGGTGAGAAACCAACAAAACAAGGAAAACAAAGATAAAAAAAAACACAAAAAAAAATGCAGAAACTTGGAGCATCAAAACAGCACCAAAAACCGAACAAGCTCACACCAAAAACTGAGACCAGCAGCACAGCTAAGAATCACCCTTGTACAACAACTTACAGTAGCACTAACTGAGACCACCAAAAAACTGAGACCAGCAGCACAAACTGAAACCACCAAAAACTGGATCTTCTGGCACAGCTTTCTTCACAATCTTTCCTATTCCTAGCCCCCTAATAATTACCCTTGTACAGCAACTTACAGCACCTTACTGTTTGACCTTCCCCTCTTTGATGATTCTCTTTTTGTCCTTACGCTCTAGGTCCATGATCTTATTTAAGGCTACATCCTCTTGACCAGTGAAGTTGATACCAAGAGTTTTCCCCAATTGGATGGTAGCTGTGGCTTCTTGAAGAAGGTAATTATTCAGGCTTGATTCAGACTTAGACAGTTCCGACTGTGCAATTGCTGCTGCTGCTGGTCTGTATATGATAGATTTTGAGGTGGGTTTGTTGACAACTTTGTACCCATGGAGTCTGGAGAAGGTAGTAAAACCCTCTAGGTGGGCCTTTTGTTTCCCCTTTTTCTTTACATTTCGAAGAGGTTTTGAGATAGCAACTGATTGCCTAATATGGCCTGAATGGTTTAGGCACAAAGCCAAGAGCCCATTACAACCAGGTTTAACATTACAAGGCTCAATAGGCCTGGAGAAATGATCACTAACAAGGTTGTTGCTAATTGATTGGGCCAGATCCACTTCCAGATTAATGCCAGGCTGGAGACCCTCTCTAGACCCACTAAAGCTTTTCATAAAACCCTGTGTAAAGACTTGCTCAACACACCTCTGATTGCCATCATTACTTTTAGGACTGTGCACAGGCTCTTCCAGCATCATTACCTCTACATACGCTCCCTCCTTGCTGCAGCTTTCTGAATCCAACTTTGTCTCCTCAACTACAGTGTTTGCCTTCTTTCCAATGCGACATGCAGTAGGCTCCTTCCTCGGTACTACCTCATTGGTGTATACCAACTCAGCAGCAAGCTTGTCACATCCTGCTGCCACCTCATCATCATCTTCATACTCCCTACAGCCCTTCTCTAGGAAAGTCTCTGCCTCTTTACTAGAACAAAGAACATTAGAACTACAATCTTCCATACCATTAAGCTTCATGATGCTAAGATCTGCACTATGATCTTCACACACAAGGATGGGGTGGACTTTACCCATACACTCCAGCAAAATAGTTTTGTTGATAGGCTCCATACATGACGTAACCACTCTGACTTTGGCGTAGGAGAAGGATTTTGGTTGACAGATATCGAGAGTTTGTTTGTGTGAATTTGATTGGCTGTTGTTTAATGTTAAGTCTTTGTAGGATTTAGTCAGTCTAGTAGCCTATCATTCTTCAATAGAGTTGATTTTACAATAATGGGAGAGTTTGTTTGTGTGAATTTGATTGGCTGTTGTTTAATGTTAAGTCTTTGTAGGATTTAGTCAGTCTAGTAGCCTATCATTCTTCAATAGAGTTGATTTTACAATAATGGGAGAGTTTGTTTGTGTGAATTTGATTGGCTGTTGTTTAATGTTAAGTCTTTGTAGGATTAAGTCGGTCTAGTAGCTTATCATTCTTCAATAGAGTTGATTTTACAATAATTAGAGAGTTTGTTTGTGTGAATTTGATTGGCTGTTGTTTAATGTTAAGTCTTTGTAGGATTAAGTCAGTCTAGTAGCCTATCATTCTTTAATAGAGTTGATTTTACAATAATTTGAGAGTTTGTTTGTGTGAATTTGATTGGCTGTTGTTTAATGTTAAGTCTTTGTAGGATTAAGTCAGTCTAGTAGCCTATCATTCTTCAATAGAGTTGATTTTACAATAATTTGAGAGTTTGTTTGTGTGAATTTGATTGGCTGTTGTGAGGGTAAAAACAATCCTCTCTTCTTCTTTGTTAGTGTCACAGCCTTTGTTTATACCTCCTTTATAGCACCAAAACCCTAACAAGTCAAGCTTAAGTCAATACTAACCCCGTCCTCTACCTATTGGCATTCAATTTGATTATCAAAACCTTAAATTACTCATTGTTTTACTCTTAAATAGGCTGTGTATTGAAAGTTTGGCAAGCTTTATCACTTATGTACGAACTAATTTTAGCTC